CGAATTGAAATGTCGAAATGGAATCACCACGATAAAGCACTTTGTAATAAAACTATTAAAAAATCATTTATTTTAATAATGCATCTATAAATATATATTATTTTATTAAAAAAAAATAAACTTGATACTAATTTTGATGCATTATCGATAAAAAAAGAATCTAATTAATTTTTTATGAAATAAAATTTTAATTATTATAATTAATTGTAGTTTAAAATATTAAAGATCAATATGAATGAACAATATAAAAAAAAATAAATAAATTCAATAACATATTAACAATCAAAATTCTATTTATTAAAAGAATTATTAAAATTTTCTTAAAATAAATTTTTATTTTTGTATTAAATTTATCGTGAAAATAAATGATTACTCTAAGATTGATTGATTTCTATACTTGTAATTTACTATTCATTGCCAAAGTTAATCGAGTACCACGTTATAACGAGTGCGAACATTTTCATCTTATCGCGTTGCGAAGGTTTTATATTGCTTTTCGTGGCACGCACGTATAGATATCGAGTAGGCTAATCAATATTGAGCATCCAGAAAAATGACATGCTGTTAAAACAGCAAAATATTACTGTTTGATGTTCGATAATTGTATTCTTCATTTTTGTCATTTTTATGGTGTTAAGTAATTTATACAAAATATATAATTAATTCATATAAACTAAAATTACAAAATATAATAAAAAAAATACAAATATTATATATTATATATCTAACTGTGTATTGATTGGATACAATCGTTAGAAACATTATACTCCATCTGTCATCGAATTATATCTCAGCAATAATAAATAATAATATTCGTATATTGTATATAATTATAATCTAGCAAATATGATTTTTAAAAATTGAAAAATTATATTTATATGGTCATTAGATTATTAAAATATAATGTTACCAGCAATTTTATTCTAGTTTTTGAAAAAATCACATGAACATATACAATATCGCATAATAACATATAAAGAATCATGTAGTAAATTCGATTTTTTTTAAAATAAATATACATTTTTTGCTTTTTTTGCTATTTTCATGTTTAGAATTCATTCATATAATATAATGGAATTATTTAATTTCATTTATATTTGAAAAATTTTACCTAACATGAAGTATCCTATTCAATTTTGTTATTTTTAATTTTCATTTTATTTCGATTTTCCTGATTTCATTTACATACGAATGTGAACATATATCATTCTATATATCACATATCATATAAATAAATATATCATATTATACAATAATATACAATTATAATTATAATATTTATAATATAATCTAATGTATATATATATATAATATGTATGTATAACATCATTTTTTTAAATTCGTGATTTGAAAAAAGTTAGTCAATTTTTTATCGATTACAAATTGCGATATTAAAATTAATGAAATGAACAAATATAATATAGAAAATAATAAAAAAAGTCAAAATCACGTTAAATTTTTAAAGTGAGATTATTTTAAATATTCTAATATTATAAATCATGTTAATAAAAATTAATAATTTTCTTATTTTGAAGTCAGACCAATGTTTTCAATTCAAAAAACTTGTTTTATATAGATAAAATTTTACATGTTCAAAATTCATATTCGTGTTCTTTAGTAAAAAAATATTTTGTAGACAAATTGGAAAACCAACTTGACATTCTTCAAATTTTCAATTCAATTTTTTAATATTCATGAAGAATTTACAAATTAACAAAACAAATATCGATAAGCTCTTCATTGTTAAAACAATTCTTGTATTTTATCTTGATTAATTATTAGAACAAGTAATAAGTTGTAATAATCTTAATTCATAAAAAATTTCAAGTCATTTTTTTCGTTAAAAAAGTATATATGAGATTATTTCTGTATATTACGAGATATCGAAGAAAATTTATATATGAAAACATTAACATCGAAAAGGATTTAATAAATTATACAGAATTTGAAAAAAGAAAAGAAACAAAACAATACAAAAATTTTTTTTACTGAAAAACAGATGAATTTTTAGCATGTAAAATTTTATCTACATAAAACAATTTTTTTACGAAAATATTTTTTGTTGGTTAATTATATATTGTGATTTCAAGCTCATTTCAAATGATATATTCGAGATATTGATATAAACTACGATATTATATAACGTAATAAGTAGTGTTATTTAAAAAAAATTACTTTGATTTTTTATTAGAAAAAAAATTTTTTAAATTCTAATATTACAATTTATATTTATTATAATAAAGAATTAGATAATAAGATAATAAGAATAATAAAAATTAATAATAATAATAAGAACTTAACTTTATTCAAAATGATCTTTCTTAAAATTGAAAATACTTAAAAATCGTAATGACTCTTATAAATCATTTTATTCATATGTTAGATTATAAATTATAATTATTTAAAATGTTAATTTTATTTATAAATAGATCATTAGATGTATTTAATATTCTAATATTTATAACATTAATTTTTTATTATATTATTTTGTGAAATATTTTAATTTTAAATATTTTATATCCAAATATAATTTTGGATATAAATTTCTTAAATGAAATTTTCTTTTATATTTTATATACATAGATATTGAATAAGAATAAAATAAGAATAAAATTTTTTATCATGATATTTGTATTTCTCCACCATAATTATTATATATTAATTAACAATAAAGATATAAATTATTATAATTTAATTTTAAATATTAAATCAAAAATAATAAGAATTCTAAAATTTTCTAAACTTTTTAAATATTATAACAATTATAAAAAATAATTGCTATAATATTGAATATTTTATATAAATATATAAGATGTTTTCTTTAAACCAGATATTTGAAATATAAAAGAATTAAAACAATCGAAAAAAAAAATATTCTGTATGAGCCATGTTGTTTAATATTACAATATAAAACTACAACTAAAAAAATGAATGTAACATTTGTTTTTGATATTTATTTATTTTCGATTCTGACTCAAAAGTTGTACTGCAACAAATATGTATTAAGTGAAATATGTTGATTGAAATTAGACATAAAATTCTATTATACAAGTGAATGTAATGAACATTGTAGTGAATATCGTAATTTATTATTGTTTATTATATATGAAATTTATAATGTAATAAGTTATATAAGTTATACATTATTAAATTTCAACAGTGATGATGAATGCAAATGTTATCACGTCCATCGAACTATCAATATGGAACTATTATATTTCGCATGCACTTCTATCGGAATTTCTTTTTAATTATAATAATTATGAAAGAAAATTATGAAATAATAAATAGATTAGGATATACATTTTATTATTAATAGATTTAATATATTATAAATAGTAATTATAAATATTATAAATAATATTATAAATGTATTATATTTTTTATAATATTATAATTAATTAAATTTAGTATTATAAATAATTAAATTTTTTTTATATTAATTAGCATCTTAATTTTTAACTTTTTTATCGTTTAACAATAAATATTTTTCTTACTTTTAATTTTTAAAAATTCCCAAATGTAATTTTTTTCGTGCAGATTTATTTGTCTAGAGGATCCAATATCTAATTTAATTAGTTATATGTTTATAATAAAATTACTTAAAATGTCATTTTATAGTAATTTGTATGTCTCTTTCATTAAAAATGTCTATAAGAATAGTATAGATAATTATAAATAGGACTGCACTTACATATATATTCTCATATACAGTCATGTTCGTTTTTTAATAGAATATTTTGAATTTTTGAACCTTTTTGATCATAATTTTTTAATCTTTTGGAACATATTAATGAACATGATTTTAATTATATTTATTTTTATATTAATTTTCGGAGTACAGACTATGAAGTATAGTAAGGCAATCTATATCACCATACTTATCTAATTTTTCTTATGTAATTAGCATTATCACTAACTGTTAAGTTAATGATTAATCATAAGATGAAAATGGTTTCATCAAATCACAGAGGATGAATAAGAATTTATCGTTGAGCATGATATAATACAATAATTTATAACAAACAATAACTGATACATGTGAAAATAATTAGAAAATTTAATTTTGCCAACTTTCAATTAAAAAATGTACAAAATATATATAATCTTACGATATAATTATGGAAATTTTTTCGACAATTATAATTATGATTCATGTAACTCATAACGTCCATCAAAATTTTTGTAAATATGATATAATAGTGTCTAATCGTTAATAAGTCAGAATATTAATAAAGAATAATCAAGGAAGAAACAGCTTATCATTTCTTAAAAATCTCTTATTTACACATCGTGCACACCTTATGTACGCATTGTGACTTTATCATCAGTTGCTTTTCGAAAACATCGTATACCATACGTTTTTCAGTCATTATTGTTTGCACTTATGAAATATAGTGAGTAAAGTGTATATATAGGGTGATTCAATATAATTTGTGTAACATTAAAATCTTTATATTATAAGATATTTTCTAAATAAAATGTATATAAAATAATAAAAATACTATATAAAATTTAATAAAAACGAAAATAATAAATATTTATTTTTCAATTTATTTTGCATTTATATTGTATAAAAATTTTTGAAAATTAGAAATAATTTTATAACATTATTAATTTTAAATTGAATTTTAATATATAAAAAATATATTGTATATAAACATTAGATTTAAAAATTTTTTAGTTTTTATGAAAACACAATATTTTAATTTAAAGTTATATATAGAGTTATATTTTAAGTTATATATAAAAAATATATTATACATTTAAATTAGAAGAAAAAAAAATAGAAAAATCACAAAAAATATATTTTTATTAAATCACGTATAAAATATTTTCATGAAAAAAGGAATTTCTAAGAAATCTAAGAATTTTCAAAGAATTTTCGTGTCCTTGCACTCAATTTTTTCTCGGTTAGCTTTATTTTTTCCATCTTCTTCACTAATTGTTAAGTGTCTAATTATTAAAATTTTGTGACAACGAGTGTTGTTTTCTTTCTATTGTTTTTCATTCCAGCTTGTTGTATTCTTATATTCTTATGTATCACTATATTTTCTTGTTCCTCTTAGCGTACAGAGAGAAGCGGTAACAGCGGAATCAAACGAGAAACAATTGAGGGTGGGAGGTAAAAACGAGGAAACATAGTATCAAGCAGACAGAAAAGTGGTAGGGATGATGTCGGCCATTTTAGACCACGTGATCGGGCGTGGCGTAACGTCATCGACGATCAATACGCCGTTGAACCTAAATAAGAGAGAAGGAAAAAGAGAAAAGAATAATCGAATCCTTGAAATTGCACTATTTCTTTCTTCTTTGCATTGTCTATATAATTTGACAAACTTAGAATCCTTATGTAATTTAGCATTGCTGAAATCTGAATTAAAATTATAGGTTAGATTTACATTTAAGCCTTTTTTTGTGTCAATCATATAGTCAACCAAAACTATATTTGCATAAATATAGTTACATTTATACAGTAGTAAATCGATACATTTATATATTAATATAATTGTTAACAAAATACTAAAACGAAATTTGTATGTTTTAAATTATTTAAGTTTTTGAAAAAATTTAATTCGGAGAATTATTAAATTGTGATAAATATTTTTAAATATAATTAATTTTATATAAATAACACACACACACATATATATATATGTCTTATATTTATTAGTTAATGAAATATAATATAAAAATATAATATAAGTAGTGCAAATAAGATATAAGAAATATTTAATAAAATTATATTAGATTAATTTATATTTTTTTATCCTACTAAATAAATAAATATAAAAATTTTATATTTTCTATTAATTTTTTTGAGCGATTACTTAATTTTTGATCATGATATTATAAATTTCACTCCACCCAGTATATCATTTTTATAATTTCTCTAATCTCTATTATATCTTCTATAATTTTAGAAATTCTAAAATTTCAAATATTTAGTATAAAATATCTAAAATAATGAAATTTAGTAGCTTCTTGGAATATATATATTTAATTACAATAGAAATTTCAAAAATAAAAAATTTTAACATTTCTTGCCATCCACAGTTTTAAACATATATTTAAATAAAATTTTCTTAGTTTAGAAAATGTCATATTTTTTATAATTGTCCTTTGTAAATTTACTTAGGATTAAATAAATTATATAAAACAGTTACATAATATAATTTAAAAAAAAATAATTAAAATGTAAAAAAATATAAAACAACAAATTTTAAATATTATTATGTAAATTTTAAAGTAATATTTAAATAAAATAAAAAAATCCCATTTAATTTAATAGATATTAATCATTTTTAAATTATGAATCATTTGATGATTTAAATGTTTCTTAATTTTCAATCATTTTTATATTTTTAATAGTATATTTTATAATTATTAAAAAAAATAAAAAAGATAAGAGATTCATATGTTTATGTTTTAAAATATATTTTTGAAACGAAATATATTTAAAAATAAGTAATGGAGAATAAGTTAAAAATATAAAAAATATAAAGGAATGTTATTTTATTAATGTTTGTTGCATACTATAATAAAGACAATAACATGGTAATATAGATTTCTTATTTAAATAATTTGTTAATATAATATTAAATTGATTGATTGCAAAAAAACAATCAATAATTTATTAATAATTAAATATCATTTTAATAGTTGATAATTAAATGTAGTTTAACCTATTTTAAATTGAGTATTTCAATAATATAGATATTATTTTTACATTGATTTTACTAAATATATATGTAAGTATACATATATAATTATTATTATACAAAGCATTATTTTTAAAGATATATCATGTTTTCTAGATTAAGTGTAACCTAATCACCGTGTTCATCGCAGAATCATTGCCATTGTGTACGCATATTCTATGTCTCAGTATTTTATTTAACTAGATATCATATTTTTTAATGATAAATGTCATAATCTTTTTTACTATTAGTTTAGTAACATTGATATTTAACATAGTATTTATAATTAGTATATTAATATTTTATATATATTTATATTTCTGAAATATCATTAGCGTTACTATTTCAATTTTCACGTATCTTCTTATCTTTTTTATTTATATCATTCTGCTTATTTTTTAAATATTAATTTAAATAAATATATAAGATTATTTTAATAAATAGTAATAGCAATAAATAGTAACTATATAACTTTAATATAAAAGTCATTTTTTGTCTTGTTATTAACTAGTGATCTATGATTTGTATTTAATAAATATATATAAGTGTTTCTCGGACCATCTAAATGTTTTTTTGATATGTAATAGTGTAAAAATCGATTTTAATCTTTTCAAAACAATAATTATCAAGTAAAATAAAATATATACAGTTCAATATGCCATTTTTTGTTTTTATTATTAAAAAATTTTATAGTGAATAGTTCAACATATTTTAATTTTAATATGTTTTCTTAAAATAATTTTAATTTAAAACAAACTAAACATACAAATATTAATATGTTTGATTATTATTACATATATATTAATATCTTTGAAAATATTTCAGACATAAATTAAATGGAAGAAATATTTTTTTATAAATATCATTTTTTTCATTTTTTTTTAGTTTTATTTTTTTATATTTATATAAAAATATAATTTTTTCTATCATATATAGCTAATATTATAATGCATTTATTGATATAGTATGATCTTAGATTTTAAACTGATTTTAAAATCAGTTTGAGATTTATATTGAAGTTTCATTTTTCAACAATAAAAGCGAACTTAAAAACATAAATAAATATATTTATTGTTTTAATAAATATTCAATATGATGTCTTTGTACTTCAAGACATTTTTTGAGATAATAGATTGCTCTTTCAATGATTTCAGATTTAATATACATGTGCTGCAATTATATTCGTTTGTCTGACATTTTAAGAATTTCTTTATAATTCTTTAATGTTCTTTGCAAAATACAAGATTGGGCAAACAAGCTGATCGTAAATTCATTACGTTTAATCTATTAATTTGAGAATTGTTGAGATTCTGTATTGCGTAAAGTATGTAAAAAATGTGTCAGATATTCATCGCATCGATACCAAAATTTTAATAATTATTTGATGAATAATTTTAATAAATTTTAATTTGTCCTTCAAAAATTCAATGTATATTTCGAGTTTTTATATTAATAATTAATAAATTGAACTCAATTATATTATATTAATTTATGACAGTACATCAAACATTTATAGCTAATAGTTTCTTTTTATCAATTTATCTCAATCTGACCAATTATTTTAATAATTAATTATTTTAATATTTTAATAATTAATAACTTTGAAATTAAGATTTATGAAGAATAATTCAATAAATAATATTTTTGTGAAAAACATTTCATTATTTTCATATTTGTTGTATTTCATTAACAGAAAATGTAACAATTTTGAAAATTGATGTGATAAAAGACTTTAATGAACAAATAAATAGAAAGAATTTTTATACATAAATCATCCGAAATATGCTTGTTATTAACACTAGTTTACCATTTAAATTATTTTATACTAACATGTGGATTTTTTTGAATTTTAGAGAATTATATTTCTCAGATTTATTTAATACTATTATATTTTATGTTTTTTTTTTTCGTTGACACTATTAATTTTAAATATTTTAATAAAATTGCATACTAGACGCAATTATATTCTAGAAATCTTTCTTTATAAATTTCTTTTTGTTTCAGATTTTTTTCAGATATTATCGAGTTTACCTATATGAAAAATGAAAATCATCTCAATTTTTTTTGCTTTGAATAATACATTATGGATCCTTTGTCGATAAAAAGATATAATAAGAAGCAAATATTTAAATCTAATCTGTCTAATTCAAATTGTAATTGAAATTTGTAATCAATTTAATGTAAGTTTTAAATTGATTTTAAAATTTTAGAATTTAAGATCATTTCAAAATCATTATTATATATGAATAAAATATTGCAATATTAATTACAGTATAATAGTGATAGAAAAAATTAACTTTAATACATAAAAAAATATAATGATGATTTTAAAAAAAATGACATTTGTAAAAAAAAATATTTTTTTCGTCTAATTTATTTTCTTAAAATCATAAATTGTTTTGGAAATGATTCTCTTACTGCTACATTACAGAAAATATTATAAGTATATAATCTATTTTACGCAAAATATTTTATATATAATGTAAAATTCAAGATGTTTATTATATTATTCAATTATATATTTTTCACGAAAATTTTAAAAATTTATTAATAAAATAAAAATATATTTTAATTATTTTTATTACTTTTATTATTATCTTAAATTAAACTGTGTAATCAAACAATAATTTTTAATAATAATTTTAATATTAGAGATAATCAACTCAAATAGTAAAATTAATAATTTTAGAATAAAATACATAATCTAATGACGAGAATTATAAATGAAGTTAAATTGCTGGTCGTCAGCCAAATAGTAATTAATTTCTTAGAAGTTGGCAGGCTGTGTTACTGAATATGAATGAAGCCGCGAAAGATTGAGTTATTATTAAATTTGGATTTATTCCAAATTAGATGATAGAAAGACTAACTGTGAATAGTTTATTTAAAAAAATTGTATTTTTATTGTAATATTGCTCTTTGTGGTAAAATCTTTTTGTAGTATAAACGCTAGAGTTTAAACTCGAATGTATAGGAAATCAAAATATAATATTATTTATATAAAATTAATAATATAAACAATTGAGAACGTGGAAAATTAAAAATATGAAAATACGAAAAATATTCTTCTTTACTATATTTTGAAGTATCTTTAAGATTAAGAAACAAAAAATTTCTTAGAGAATGTAAAAATTAGATTCTATATTCAAAAAATTTAACAATCAATTCTAATAAATTCTATTAAAAACTATTACAGATTTCTTTTATTTAAATTTACTATGTTATAAGATAACTGTATTTAAAATTTTTTAAGATAATTATTATTTTTTAAAATAGAAATGTATATAGTTTGATATTAATCGATATTAGCTAAGTATTTTTTATTAAAAATTATTTTATTAAAGACTTCACTCATTGAAAAAAAGACATTAGTTTGGAGATCTTTCTTTCTTTTGTGAAATTTAGTACATCTTTCATATATTGAATTTTATTTCTCAAGAAAAACATAAATATAAATATAAGAAGACTATTTCAAATTCTTCTTATTTTTCATATGTTAAATTTCATAAATTTATAATTGAAATACCTCCAAAACTAATCATTTTTTATAGAGATGGAACAAAACTTGATTTTTAGATTTATGAATTTGAGATTTCAAAATTCTTGAAGCTTAAAGTATTTAAAATTCAAAATACTTTTTCTTCTTCTTTTAAAGAATAAATATATATTTATTCAAATATTAAAATCTTAACAAATTTCATATTAAGAATAGTTCGAATTCCAAATTCCAAAAATTCGTAATAAATTTGTAAACTAGAAAATAATTATTTTCTAAAAATAATTCTTATTTTTATATATCTCATTGAATTATTTGAATGAATTAATAAAATCATAATAATTGAAATAAATTTAAAATTGAAAATGAATGTAACATTTCATATGATCATAGCATTTTTGTAAAGATTTATATAATTTATATTTATTCTAATTTTAATTTTAAAAGTTTCAAATAATAAAAAGTTTCAAAATTCGAAAACTTAAAATTTCTTAAATTTCCAAGTTTTGAATTTCTATTTTTTTTATAATAAGTATGTAATAATGCCGTATAATCATGAGAAAAGATAATAATGATAAAAGAATATTTAAAGAATGCGCAAATCATCGACACAATAGGAATGCGGCTAGTTCTAAAAATTTTCTTGCACAAAATCGCTTTTAAACATTGTAAAAAAGCTGAATTTAATATTAAATGAGAAATCTTATAATTTCAAAAATGAATTAATATCATCTTATAAAATATGATCAATTATATTGACATATTAAAAATGTTTTTATATAATGAAAATAATTAGAATATAATGAAAATTACTTTCATTTAAATACTGCATTTCTGATATAAAATTCTGAATAGTTATTGATATAATTTATTGATATTGATTAATTTGATAATTAATATTTTACATATCATTAAAAGTTTCCGTATTATTTTGCGTCATGTTTGTTAACAATTGGCTATTCAATGGAAAGATATTTAAATAATTTCTTGAAAAATGAGATTTTGGATAATTTCAAATATTGTTATCAAATTAATTTTATAAAAAAATTTTAATTTTAATTCTTAGGATTAGGATATAAACTTAATAAATTAAATAAAATTTTCTGATTGATTCCATTTTTTAAATTCCTTGGTTATTCAGAATATTTAGAAATTACGATAAAAGTTTCGATCAAATCAATGATTAGCTATCTAAGATAAAATATTCATAGAATAAGATTGAACGAGTAATACAATAAAAAAAAAAAAAAAAGAAAAGAAAAAGAAAAATGATTTAATAAAGATTAAAAAAAAAAGAACATTCTTATAATTTTTAAAAAATAAATTTGCATATAATCTTCTAATTGAATATGAATAAATTATTGATAAAAGATTATTTTAAATATTTAAAAAAGTAAATAATAAATGTAAAATATATTTTTTTATTGTCAAATTCTTATTTTAAAATTGTGTAGTAATCAGATACTTATATAAATAAATTTTCAAATTTTTTTTTCTTGTTATTTGTTTTTTTTTAAATAAACATAGTTTATCAACTCCAAATAATATCTGAAATAATAATGGTGTATTTTAATCCATTAATATTCATTTTTATCATTTTCGTTAGTAAAATTTATTAATAAAATTACATTTTAGTTATCAAAGTTTATAAAATAATCATATTTTTCATATAAAATAAATTATTTATATTTAATTAAACAATATTATAAAAACTTGTTTTTCTTAAAATATCAATAATAAAAGTTATACTATTATTATATTATTTTGACTCATTCATATAATAAATGATACTATAATATTATTTTTATTGGGATGTTCCAAGTTTAATTTAATAGATTCTATGTTATTTTCTTCTCTATATATATTTTATATATTAAAGAATTTATGATGATTTGACATATTTTTAAAAAAAAACATTGATTGAAAAAAAAATAAATATTAATAAATCTACTTACTATTTTGCCGAATCGTTGAGTTGATACTCGTTGCTCCTGCCAAAACATTGTTGGACCCCGCTATCAGCCCAGAGTCTATTCATCGCAGCCAAAAGTTCCTCACTAAATGGCTCCGTATCTTCCATTCTTTGGATCACATCAAATACCATTTTCGCGTCCGGCTAGAAAACGATTTTCAAATTAGTTAATTTTGAATTAATTTATTATATCAAATTGATATAATAATAAAAAAAATTCTATTCGTTAAATTATTTATACATTCATGACTTTATTTGGATATTCCTCAAATCAGAGATAATTGAAAAATAGATGACATCAAAAAGATATGTAAATTGATATTATAAATTTCTTAAAGATGGAAAATCAGTCTAAAATGATCATCTTTTTATTTTGTGGCAGCATTATACATTTATATGTATTCAATTTTAAGTTATTGTCATCGAGCATAAATTTTTTCAATATAGAAATAAAATTTTTGATTTTTCAAAAGTATTATCATTAGTTAATTTTTTTTTATCTATATATATTTTTTTCTCATCTGTCTCATCAAGTAAATGATAATAAATTGAATTTATAAATAAAATTTCTGGTTTCTCAAAAGTATTGTTATTAACTAATTTTTTTCTTATCTATACTATATCTAAACAGATATTCATTCAAGAATAATGACATAATTTATATACTATCCTTCATTTAATATTATATTTAATTTACTTATTGATGATACTTATTAATGAACTTTTTCATTTATGTACCAAATTTATAAACACAATGAATAGAATATTTCTTTCATAATTATTCTTTTCAAAATTTTATTCCGATTTTGAATATATACTTATTATGTCTGAAAAAAACTTCTTTTTCTGAATATTTTTTCTCACTTTTTCAATTCAAATATGTTATATAAAAAATTCTGTTAGTGCAAATAAAATATGAAGCGTAATAATAAAAAATAATAAAATAATAATAAAAATGAATAAATATAATACAGAAAGAAAGTTCAATAAGATCAATTACAAAATCTTTTAATAACTAAATTATACTTATTAATATTAGCTTAGACTGCTTAGACAAAAAATGAAAAAAAAATAAAAATAAAAAATACATAAATGGAAGTTAATAGTACCATATATACTTATAGTTAGATAATTGATCTTTCTAATGTTATCAATTAAAAGTAGAATAATTTTTTAGTTTTAAATTTATTTGATACAAAAATGTTCTTTTTATGTCATTTTTCTTTTACTATATAGATAAATTTTAATACTCGAAATACATACGTATAAATCATAAAAAATATTATTAGAAAAATGAAATCTTTTAGATGCTTAAGATTTAAATTTCCTCATAATTATTGCTTAGAAATATATTAAAAAATTCATTAAGTCAATTTATTGAAACGCATTTTAAGCACCATATTTTGTGCAAATAACAGATAAAAAAATCTGTAATAAAGATATTTTTTTTTATAAATTAATATTATATTGAAAAAGAATATTTTAAATACAATATTTAAATACAATAGAATACTTTAATAATAGAAGTAACGATTTTTACAACGATATAAATAAATTATATTATAAATATAATAATAATATAGAAATATAGAAATACATTAGTTATATCGTTAATAAATTAATAGAAAAAATTTTAATTAAAATAATTGATTTTTTTTCTCGAAAAAAAGAAAAACTAAAAAAAAAAAAAGGAAAAACAATTTATTTTTTCCTAATCAAGGTAATAAAAGAAAAAAAAATAAAAAAAGATAAAATTGTCTAATTTTAATACAATTTAATTAATATGCAAAACTATTATCTAAATTAGATTGAAACATTGAAATAAATTTTTATATTATAGTGATGGCATTTTTTTGCCAAATTTAAAAACTAAAACTATTTAAAAACTTGAGATATAATAAGAAAATAAAGGTTAATAAAACTAATAAAACTTTTTTTGTTTAATAATATAAAATAATGAAACGGTTAAATGATTAAAATATAACTATTTAATCTTTATTTATTGTAATAGTTAAATAGTTAATGGTCAAATTGAAAAAATAGTTATTTATTACGCCATTATTATATTCAAATATTTATTCGTCAAATTTTTTGCATTCTGATATATATATAAAAACGTCTTCACAAAACTGTAATGAATTACAAAATGTTTCGATGACTATTTCTTCACATTTTTTATTTAATAAAAATATTAATATTTTACTCATTCCATTTTTGTCAACTTTTCCTTATTATGTAATTATATTATTATGTAATATGTATATTAAAGTCAACGTTAAAATTGTGAAATTTTTTTATTATTTTCCATATTTGTATTTTTCTTTTATTTAATATAGAATATCAGCATATCGCTTTTAAATAGGAACATACAGCAATTGTTTAGAAAAAAGGAATACTTTTTTGATAATAATTTCAAAATATATATAATATACTAATATAATATATTAGATATTATTTATATATTATATAATATATAAATATACTTATAGTATAAAATTTGAATGGATTTGATTAGATTTAAAATAAGTTTAAATTAAGTTTAGATTAAATAGATTCAAATTAGATTTTAATTAAATAATATATTATTATTTATAACATATTATTTTCTTTAATTCGATTTTCTAATTAGATATTGAATAGATTTATGTTTAATTTGAATTTATTTGAAAACTTTGAGCTGAATCTTAACTAAAATTAATTGAAATTAAACAATTAAATTAAATGATATGTCATATTTAAAGATGTAATTATAACATATCTAATGTAACTTCAATTTTGCTTAAATTTATTCTGATTTTAAATCAAACATAATATAAATCGAAATCTATCCCAAACTTTATTAAAGTATACAGAATAAAAAATATTTTTTCATATATATTTAAAAAATTAAAGTCAAGCAAAAACAATTATGCAAAATATTTAATTTTAATAAATAAATACAATAAAATTATTCATAATTATTATTATAAATTACTAATATATACTATATAATATACTATATTACTAAAAACATAAATATATAAATATATATATAAAATTCAAACAAAAATTAATTTTAAGGAATTACATAATTTAGATATTTATAACATTCGTAAAATATTTATCGAATTATTTTTATATAAAAAAAAAATTTAGACTATTTTAATAATTTTGAGAGCGATATTGTTAAAATTTAACTAAATGATTTAAGTATTATATAAAATGAAGTATCTAAGTTATAAATAAATAAGCTATCGCTCGAAGAACCACCTACGGTTGTAAGACCGTACAATTGTTTGTATTGTGAGCCTTGAGTGAATGATGATTGGTTCTAAACGTTTGTGGTTGACTAACGACTGACTGAATTTTATTTCTGATTTCTAACTGTGCTCTGATTTCCACTGTATCTAACTCGATTTAATTTGAATTGCTAAATTATAATTATCTAATCTTAAAAAGCGTTACGAATTTTTGTTCTTAGAGGTTAAAAAGAATGATTGCATTGGAAGACGGTTTCTAAGAATAGATTCTCAGGAGATCGTGTCGCAGCGCATGGAGATTTTTGCAATTTTATAACTTCTATGATGATCCATCATAAGCATTGCGCATTTAGAACGCAAATGTGATTTGTAAAGTAATCATCATTGTTACATCTTGTTATTGAGAATTTGGAAAATGTGAGAGAATTATTACTAAAACCTAAACTTGAAAATACTGGAATTATTGAAAATGAAATTCAAACTGTCTTTAACAAAAAATAATTATTTTATAGATGGATGCATAAAAATCATATGAGTAATATATATTTCTTTAAATAAAATTATATAATCTTTAATACATTGTTCTATGCAATTCGTTATTTCTTAAATGTATATTAAATATCTCTTAATAGGTAAATTGTAAAATTAGTAAATTGATCGATATTACATTTGAGTTAAATTGAATAAATTGTCTATAAATATAGCTTAAGGAACAATATAACAAAAAACTACTTAAAATTTTATCTTTATTAAAAAGAAAATTTTAAAATCATGCTTAAATAAAAGAAGTTTATACTCAATTTTTTACAGGAAAATGTTAAACATTAATGTGAGATTGAGTTTATTGTTTTTTCAAAATAACGATTATATCGATGCAACATCAAAAGTTAAAAGAAGAAAAAACAATCATAAACTACATATAAATAAATTATTTTAATTTATAAATGCAATTATCCTGTACTATTTATTACAGAAAAAATATTTTAAATAGAGTTTATTCTGTTTCGAAAATGAAGTATTTATTATGATTAATTTCTTTGAAGATAAACTCATAAACAATATATAAAGATCATCTTTTTAATGAAATCATATTATTTTAAATGTATATTTTAAATGATATTTAATCAATGTCATTTTAAATAAGAAAAAATATATATTAAATATATATTTATATTGTTCATTTTTTTTTAGTTACAATGAGGTTTTGTGAAATTAAAATATATTCAAAATTAATAATTTTTTTCTATAAATGATTTAATAATTTTTTTTATATAGAATAACAATTTATTATAATTATTAGTATATTATGAGATATATGATTACAAAATTAAAAAAATTATGTTGATTTTTATATATTTCCTGTGTCCACTTAAAAAAATTAATAATATAGATTATTTTTTTCTGTACTATGAAATCATAAAACTTTTGTTTAAAACATTTTTATAACAAATAATTTATAAATTATTTTAAATTTTCAGATTATATGATTTATCCGGTATAATTTTATTTTAAAAAATATCGATAATTCACTTTCGCAGAAAATAATTATATCAAAATATTACTTCGAAATATTATAAACTTTTTTGAAATATTTTTTTTTGTATGTGGAAGATGATTAAATTTATAATCTTATATAATATAATCTATATAGGTATATAATATATCTATAATTATAATGTAGAATAAGTCTTTATATATTTATAATATATTCTTCTTTGATTCAATTAATTTATATACAATAAATAAAATTATTAATGATTAATAATATTTTTCATTTGCAAATAGAAAAAATTGCAAATTTATTTATCGCATTAACAATTTGCACGTGCTATTAGCAATCAAATAAAGCTATAGTTATTTACTACACTACTTATACATATTAGGTATTATATTTTTTAAGTAATA